GAATTTCTATTATGCAGATCCTCTGCTTGTAGATTCTATCAAGATTTATTTGTGTAATATTATGCTCTCTCAAATACCCTATTATACTTCTAATATCCCAATTGGCATTAGTACAATGTGATTTACAGGATTATAACTCCAGAAATGAGCAGAGTTTACTATAAGTTAGATACAGATATTTAAGTAATTATTCAATTCTGTTAACAGTAGAATTTGAACTCTAGACCTCTTGTATAGCAGTCTGGTAACCTAATCACTACACTAAGATTACCAGATCTAAAACTAAACTTAATACTTTACATTTTCAAAAATTTCTTAATATTAAACAAGTTTCATATTTCTGAGCAAGCTTTGGAAACTCTGCAGAAAGAACTATACTCTTAGTTAATAATAACCTCAAACTATATATTCATAATATATTAACATATTCTAAAAGCATTATTGCTATTGATCTCCTCTTTAAACATAACTTTAAATTTAGAATTATATCTGTATATCTGTTTATATCTAACAAACCTTACAGAGATTCTACTCAAGAAAAAACTAAGTAATAGATCTAACAAGCTCTAAATCTAAACCTTTTTCCTATAGTCCTAGGAGACTTTAATACTTCTACAAACTTTATATCTACTACTTTCTCCAAAACTTGTCTACTATCTTATTTACATAGTATTAACATGTATGATCTTGTTAACTACACATCTAACCAACAAAATACCTAGTAAAGTAGCAGATATAGCAGTAAAATTAACTATATCTAGGCATATCATCTAACTATACAATTTCTAACAGACTTTTACTATGAAGACTCTCTTGCTATAACTAATAGTGACTACAAAAATTAGTTTCTAAATGGTCCTTCTCTTTTGCTCTCTCTGGTAAACTCAGAAACAAATTTAAAACAAAATGAAGAATTTTTAACTACAAAAGAATGATAACTGAACTTTAGCAGGAATTTGCTAACTAAACAGACCTTAATTTAATAGCTAACAATATACTATCTACTACATTAACAACAAAGTCCTTGGAATCTACTTAGCATAAAATCTAAACTAGCATTATGCTTTCTCTATAATTTCAAACAAAAAGTTTACTACTAAAAACTTCTACTATACTTTCTCTTCTAAAGTAACAGAACTACATCTTAATCTTAAACTATTAGAAGAAGCTATTAAAAAATTAAAAAAATATTTAAACAATCTAGATACTTCATATCCTAATCTCTTTACAATAATCAATTCTATCAACTCTCAATACTCTTTTAATATCTTTCTACTACTATTAGACCTTAACTTAATTTCAAAATAGATCTTTTTCTCTAAAAACTCTTAGAAATCTCTTTATAGTGCTTGTAACTTAGAAAATACTTATCAAATAAGAGAACATATCAACTAGGCTATAAACAAAAGATATGATCTCTTATAAACTAAACTCACAAAAATGATTAATAGCATTCTAGACAAATACAGTGAATCTGTATATTTTAACAATATGAAATACAGAATAGAATTACAACTAAACTATTTAAATTAAAATAGCTATTAAAGAACACTTTTGCAAATAGACAGTATACTAAAATTTTAATCAAATAATCTTCAACTCTTACTAGAAAAATGAATACAAACCTTTACTAACTATTAAACCAGAATAGTATAACTCCATACTAGCAGAAATTACTACTGAAGAGGTTATTGAGACTTTAAGTAACCTATTTAATAATAAAGCCTATAGTTCTTCTAGAATTAGTTATGAAATAATCAAACACTTAGACTTTAAAACAATCTAAACTATTATAGTACTACTTAACTACTGTTTAACAATACAAACAATTCTAAAACAATAGAAAGACAGTTGCATTTTTTCTATTTCAAAAAAACCTATATTTGATAGTAATCTAAATAATATATGCCTAATTAGCCTCATTAAACATATATATATATATATTTTTTTTACTTTATACAACATGCTATTGGCAAGATTTATTATTGGTATAGATAGTTTTGAGTAATGATTATATATATGAGAGTACAACTAGCTATACGTACAATTTTAGATTATCTAATTTAAGTAATCTATCTGAAGATTCTACACTAGCTACTATATCTGAAATTTATTTAAAAATTCTCTATTTAAACTCTCTGGCTATATGCCATTCCTATCCTGCTATTATTTATTACCTAAATTTGCTTAACTCTGTATTACTTCTTTTTATAGAAGATATCAACAGAGCTGACATATGTCTACAAACTTTAAGATTCGAAGTCTAGACCCATCTCAGATATTCTTTCACCAACTTCCTAATCTATAGATACTATAGTATCCAACTATGCTATGCTATATTCCAATCTAGCTTGCATATACCTTTGTTTGATGTTTGTACAAACCTAGTTCCTACTGTAACTTTCTACCAGATTAGTCATTTATACTTCCAGATATCACATAAGATAGACTCCCTCAAATCTGGTTACCACCCAAGTTGGTGTTGCTGAAAGTTGTCTGTATCTTTAGATATTATACAGAACAGATCTTTCAAATCCAGTTAGTGCTAAGCCAAGTTAGTATTGCTATATAACCTCATATAATAGACTTATACACATCTATTCTGCTGATCTTTTTATATGCACGTTTTCTAACAGACTTACTCGTATTTTAGTCACTAATCTTTTCATATGCAGATTTTCTTTTTTAGATCAAATATTAACTGATATAACTATTGAAATCCGTACTATTTTATCTAACTTAAGATTTCTACCATGCAGATTCTCTACTCATAAATCCTATTAAAATTTATTTGTATAATATTACACTCTCTCAAATATCTCATTATACTTCTAATACCCTAATTCAGTATTGTCACATCTACAATGTTCAAGACTTTTTTAGACTATGTCTAATATCCAAGTGTTTAAGAGTGTTCAAAGCATATTTAAGCTTTAATAATTAATAAATTTGTCTAAAAAATAGATAATTATATATTTTTTTAGATTCTGGATATTTTTTACTTAGAAAAGTATATATATTATCTTAATAAAATTGTGAGTAATTTTAATTTATATTTTTGTTCAAAAATATTCAAAATCATGTTCAAAGCTGTCCTGTGACAACATTGCCCTAATTGGTATTAATACAACATGATTTACAGGGTTACAACTTCAGAAACAAGCAGAGTTTACTATAAGTTGAATATAGATGTCTAGATAATTATTTAATTCTGTTGACAGTAGGATTTAAACCCTAGACATTTTGTATAATAGTCCAGCAACCTAACCACTATACTAATATTACAGATCCCTCATCAAATATATTAAAAAACTCTATACTAAAATTTTAACTACTCGCACCTATCGATCTCACATCCTTCGTACTCAGGTTTTTCACTGGATCAGGTGTTAATCAGCTTAACTATTGAAATCTATACTACTTCACCAAACTTGGGATTTCTACTATGCAGATCCCCTGCTTGTAGATCCTATCAAGATTTATTCATGTAATATAACTCGAGTATTGCATCACATTTTCAATATCCAATTGACATTAGTACAACTTAATTTACAGTATTGTAAACTCCAGAAACAGGCAGAGTTTACCGTAAGTTGGGTACAAAGGTTCAGATAATTATTTAAATTCGTCGATAGTAGGATTTAAACCCTAAACCTCTTGCATAGCAGTCTGGCAACCTATGAATATTAGCTATTTGATAAAAGGTTATTGTGACTTGTATTATTAATTCTAGATTTAGCTTTAAGTTAGTAATTCAGAATATGTTATCCATATAGGCTAAAACAGAGATTAATACTTTTAGTTTATGGTTTTTGTAAGTAATAATAGAATCTCTGCAAGTTGTGGATATTATATAGCTTTGGTAGAAAGTAGAAATTTTGTTAATAAGAGGATCATAATAAATATACTATAGTAAAGAAGTAATTGTTTCTCCTTGATCAATACTATTATTAATATTATAAGAGTCAGTTAATCCTAAATTTGTAATGACTCTATTTGTATGATTAGTTAATAAGTTAGCTATGATATTACATAGTTGGAATAGAAATTAGATATATTTAAGAGCTAGTTTAAGAAGGTCTAAGTTAACTAAGTCATAAGCTTTGCTTATATTTTAAGATAAGAGCTATAACTCTTTTTTGTTGTAATAAGAGTCTTTAATAATATTGTTTAGAATATATATAAGGTATTTGTACTATTATCAGGTAAAGCTATATAGTTGTATGAATTAAGAATTTTGTGTAAGGAGAAGATTGAGTTAAGTCGAGTAGTTAAAATTTTAGTATAGAGTTTACTACGGAGATGATTCAGGATGTTGAATTTTTTGTACAAACTATGAATTGTAGCCCTCAGCAAATCCGTAAAGCTTTGGAGGAAAAATATTTCATAAAAGTCTATATACCAGTGTTACAACGAGTAATCCAATGATTTCGTCTGAAACTACATGATCAAACAAATGATGTTAGCAGGTTGTATGAAGAATTGCTAAATAAAAAGGAAGCTGATTCCCAGTGGTATGTTCAGGTAGATTAGGATCCAAACAGCAAATGTCTTAGACAATTGTTTTATATGTCTCCAGATCAAATTGAATGATGGTTAAAATTTTGTGACATTGTTCTAAATGATAATACTAATGCTACTAATCGTTATGAAATGGTATTGTCACTTTTTTTGGTAGTTGACAACTATTTATCCTCTCGATTAGTAGCATAAGCATTAACAGATAATGAAACAAAGGAAATACATAGTTGGATACTACAGCAAATTAAAGAAGCAACACATAGTGCTACTCCACAAGTTATTTTTACAGATGCTGATCCTGCTCTAGTTGCTACTATATGAGAAGAATTTCCTACTATGAATGCACTTCATTGCATGTTCCATATTGCACAGAATATCGCTTTCAATCTCAAAAATCATCTTAAAGACCAATATGACGAGTTTATCAATGATTTTTTTGAAGTGCAGCAAATTGGTTTTGTTCTAATTTTTGAATATCAATGGAAATCACTGCTCAAAAATATAATAATGAGAATATAGTTAATTATTTACAGCATTTTTATAATAACAAGGAATCATGGGCAAAAGCATTTGTGCTAAAATTATTTACAGCAGGAATATTGTCGACATCTCAGGTTGAAAGCTATAATTCAAAAATTAAAAAGCTAATTTTTAATTCAAATACAACAATATTAGAGCTTGTAGACAAATTAACAGCATACATTCTTGAGGAAGATAAAAAAACAGAGTATACTTTATTTCGTGCTTCAGTTCCTAAAACTGCCTTAGTTGCAACAGCTGATACTATTCTTCCAAATATTTGTAAAATATTGCGAAAGTATTTAACTGTAGAAATATTAAAGATTCAGGAGGATCAGATAAAACAATTACTGCAATATCATGCTATAATAGTAACACAAAGTGAATTGCAAAGATATCGTGCAGTAAGTAGATTAAAAGGAGTATACGTAGGATAGGTGTCAAAATTCCAAAAAGGAAATTTTGAATTTTGATACCAATCTATACGTATAAAGGAATACATTAATATTATGTAGAACTGTAATATATATATATCAATACTAATTTTAATATATCAACTAATTGCAGGTCAATTTTAATGATCCTACTATATTTGAAAATAAAAGTTATACTGATATTATTGCCAAAGCGATTCTGAATCTTGTTAATAAGAATAATATTGTTGAAATGTGAGGAATTCGACGTATTATATCAATTGACATACAATATTTTGTAATACTCTTGGATAATGGGTTGCATTTATACTCTTGTCTTGATAACTGTAATCGTGGAATTATATGTCACCATTTCTTTCAAGTTATACTATATACACGAACTGCAATATTTTATATTCAATTAATACGGGCACAATGGTTTAATAAAACTAGTAATGACTCAAATCATAAACCATTTTTAATTGCACAAAAATTTGAGACAGAACAATCAGTAACAATAAGTTGTGATAATTTAGTCTCTTATCTTAATGCTTTAGTTCAAGATACTACGTATGAAGTGCAGGATAAAAATTGTAAAATTATAGATGAACGTAAACTATATGGAGAGGCATGGGTAAAGCAAGAGTAGCTTTAATAGTGGCTGTTCAACGACATAATTACAATTTTATTACTATTCTTGACAAATATTTGAATAATTGTCAAGAAGAAACATCATCTAATAGTGAAAGTGAGATAGATTCTAATAATGAAGTTGAGTCTGATAGTACAATCAAAAAAGGAATGTTAGATCCAAAAGAATTAGTAAATCCTTGTAAACGTAAAAGAAAAGGACAGCCTAAGGGTACAGATAGAATGCGGCATTCAGGTGAGCCACCAAAAAGAGCAAAGCGCAAATTGCATTGTAAAGTTTGTGGAGGTATTGGCCATAATCGAGCAACTTGTTCTCAAAGACAAAAATCATAGGTATCATTAGTTTATAAGACATTAATAAGTTTGTATTATGTAGTTGTTAGTATTATAGTTATTTCATGTTGTATATGAATAGCACCAAAGAAAACTAGAAATCTAATTGTAGAGTCATAGTCCAGAATTTAAATTGAAATACATTTCTTTAAATAGTTCATAATATTAATATCAATCGTGACAAAACTTTAATATAATAAACTACTTTTCAGTACTGTCTAATATATTGCTTTCACATGATAACTAAAATTTTTTTAAAGTTTATTAATAATATTTGCTTAAGATTAGATATTATGAAATGATACGTACAGTATACGTAGTATAATGCGATGCTAGGTCACACAAAGACAAGACATACTATGTACTATACATACTATATACAGATATATTTATAAATACGTACGTACAATAACAGTTGGAATTAAAGTTAGATTAGATTTAAGGTTAGAGTAGGTAATGTTAGTTGTTGTTGTATTTATTAGCGATATCATGTGTATGAATCAATGATTCATGCAGATTCATGCGCAAAAACTTAATGTAAAATATGCATGAAACCATATGAATTATTGATTTATGCGTATGATACCACATGAATACCTATCTCTAGTTGTGAGTTCTGGGATAGTCTACTATGTATAGCATTCATAATTTGTATAATTATGTCAATTATATTTCAAGAATTAATTAGATTAGATATGAAAAAAAATGTGCGACTGAACATATTCAGACAGATATGCGAAATAGTACTAATGTTAAATTTTGATTATATTTACAGTTAACATAGACTTATAAAATATGGGGATATCTAAATAGAGTACGTAGAATATAAAATCGATAAAATTTTTATTAAGTTTAGGGTTAGAGTTAGACCAGGTTAGGGTTAGAGTTAGAGTTAGCAGGTATATAAGTAAAATTATACTTCCTGACATTTTTTATTAGTGTATTATTTTTTTTGCTTCGCTAAGCTGATCTGAGTCAACAAAAAATTTGTGATTTAATTGGTAAATTCACGTGATTATACTCTACTAGAAAATAAATAATAATGTATAGTTGTTTTTTTTTTTTTAACCTTTTCGGCAAGTCATGCCAATACTTTATTTGCAATAAATTTTGTGCTCGACAAAAATATTAGAATATATATTTACTCAAAAT